TTCGGGGGGTTAACATTGGCCTAAAATGCCTTCCACTTTTGTCCAAGCATCCTTTGGAAGGAAAGCAAAGCCTGGTTCCAATCAATAAAAATCCCGTTTTCATGCAAAACTTCTCAATATCTTCCACTAGCAATCCTCAGAGCTAAGTACAAAATTCTCTTGGATAACAGTTTACCTTGTGATTCTTCAAATAGCCTAGGAAACAATTTTGAAATTCACACACATCAGTTTTTTTGTAAAGAACATCATATAGACAATACCAAAATAATTATATTGCATGCTTAAAAATACATGTTCAGATATTTTCAGCCCACTCTCAGATATAGTAAGACATCTACTTTTCAGAGATGCTGCATCCAATAGTTTTCTCTTCAGTCCTAGGAGAAGCTCTGTCAGAAAACTGCCATTTGGAATGGTGCTACAGTTATATTCTCTCCCCCTCTCCCTCCCCCCTTCCTCCCTGGCCTGCCCCCTCCCCTTCCTCACGAATTGTCTCACAGGTAATTACATTTCCTTTCTTTTTTTTCTGGTTTTTTGAGACAGAGTTTCTCTGTGGCTTTGGAGACTGTCCTGGAACTGGCTCTTGTAGACCAGGCTGGTCTCGAGCTCATAGAGATCCACCTGCCTCTGCCTCCCAAGTGCTGGGATTAAAGGCGCGTGCCACCAATGCCAGGCCTGCATTTCCTTTCAAGCTGGATGAAAACAGACTCCTTGGAGTCTGTGATCTCAGTCAACATAGAAAATTCTCAGATAACTTCTGAAGCCACTCTAAGGTTGTCTATAGCTCAACTTTTCCTTGAAAATGACTTGAAAAGCTTAAGCCCTGGGCTGCTCAGTAGTCATGCTAGCTGCTCAGTTTTTTGACAATTCGCCCTCTGTCATTTTGTACCTAATTTTAAAGCTCTCTAAGTGTAGAATTCTTCATGTTAGAATGATTTCTACTACTTTACCCCTTGGTCACTCTAAGCATCCAACACTGGAGTTAAGGCTCCCTGCAAACTTTTCCACCAAGACAGATAAGTCCAAGGGAGAAGATGTTGAGCCAAAGCTTGCATCCTTGTAGCTAATACGAGTGTTAACTGAATTTTCTCCAATCTCCAACTTCCTCTGGTCCTCTCAACTCTTTCTGGATAGAGAGCAAGAGAGAATTTTGTCTACCTCTGTTGGCCAACAGTGCTATTTCATCTTTCCTCTTCCATCTTCAGGCGGGTATATAGACCCTATCTTTCGCCTCCATAGTACCATTGTGCTGACATCTGTGCTGAAATCCCCGGACTTCTCCTGTCTGTGCCCATTGATGGCACAGCTTCTCTGCAGCAGAGGAGGTAATGGGATGTGTCTAAAGAGTGGGATGGTCAAGGCAGGTTTGCAACAAGTACTTTCACTCCTAACTTTATGTTGCTGAGCAACACAAGCCAAGGTGGTATTTGAACTATGCTCTGAGGCTATGCTTGTGAGCACTTTCCATGGAACAATCCCCATGGTATTAGATCTCAACATGCAACTCATTAGAGAAGGCGAAGTCCAAAGGCTTCAGCCAGGGCTTAGAGACCCTTTAAAGACTTGCCTCAACTGACACCTCCAACCCGATGCCTGATATTTGTCACCTCCACATGGGGCCTTCTATTCCACCATTTCCCCCTTTTATGTCACAAGTTTCCTCATCAAATACCGTCCCACTGCTCTAGGATCTTCCTAGTTTCAAAGTTTAATTAAACTCACTGTGAAGACTCACCCAAAGTTTAATGACTCCATAATTACCTTTCTATTGCTTCCCTTAGAAATTGCTTCTTTTCCTGAAATTTCTCAGAATGGTGGCTGAATGCGCATTAAACCACACATCATTTTGTGCTCTTGTTGCAATAACACACGGTAATTTTTCATAGGCTCCTCTAGCACATAAGCACTTTCAAAGGGAAAACCCGTGCCTAGGGCAAACACTACCAGACTGGCCTGCACAGAGCCATTCAGGCTTTCCACATAAAGTACATTATCTCTCAACATTCTTGGCACCATTTACAATTTGTTTATCTATTTAAAAGAGAGTCCTCATCCTTCACTGCCCATCTCTCCAAAGGCAATCTCACCACTAAACCCTCCCTGAATTTACCATCTAACTCCCTCCATCAGAGGGCACGGTGTTCAAGGATATAGGTTTGGTGCTCAGCTATAAACCCAGTTCTGCAGCCCATTGTTTGTTGATATCGGGCAAGACACTTAACATTCCTGGACACTAATTCTCTAATGGGAACAGGACTGTGACATCTACATCATAGGATTACATTGTTCCATAAGGACGAAATAAGTTAATTTCTGAAGTTCATTAAATAGTACTGCCATCTCATAAACACTCAGTAAAACTAAGACCTTCCCCGGTTATCTCTCATGGCTAGCAACCTCCACTTGGCAATGATTACTTTGACTGTTGGTGATACACCTTTTGCTGTTGCTGGAACTTAAATTTAAATCAAGTGTTATTGATGGATTTTTAATAGAGATATCTTATTTTCTTAAATAAGCTGCACATCTCTGGAGCTTTGGTGAACACTGAATATTGAACATATGCTACATGCCAAGAACTTGGCTGAGTGCATTCTATAAATTTTTCATGCATTCCTCACAATCACAGTATAAGATAGCTATTGTTTGCATGCTGTACATGAAACAGCACCAGAGATGGCTTAGGGAATAGCTCAAGTTTTCTAAGCTAGCATGCTATAAAGTTAGGATAGTTCTAAGATGATTTTTATGTGTTTTATGAGTGTGTAACATTCACCCATTGATACAGCTGCTATAGTTGCTCAGTTTATCACTACAGATAATTTTTCACAATATCTGAGGTACATACACTTAGAATTTAGCTTTTTACTTTTAATATATCTTAATTATGGATTGCTTACTTTTCATCATTAACTTTTTTCAGTTTAATATGAATTCTAACATACACCTTCCTCCTATTACAATGAGAGAGCAATAAAGTTTTACTATATTCTGGTATAAACAGATACCATTGCTTGTTTCTGTCTTATTATTTTCCATGCATTTGTGCCAATTTCCATAATCTTATGTTTAGCCTAGCCATTTTATTTCATTGGATTGATGCTGTTTCTAGAGTGAATTTGCTAGTGTTGGAAGAAATGCTAGGAAATAGTTGTTCCAAATCTTTGAATAACCAAGGCGGAAAGCTGGGCTCATGGAATAGATGGACCTGCTAGCAACACTTAGCCAGTCAGGGGGCGCAGCAGGGACCAGAATCAAATTTCTTTTAAAAATTATTTTTTAACATTTAAAGCAATCGTAAATGCAGAGAATGGGCCTGGGAGATGTGTGAGTCACAGTATACTTGTGGAGGAGGGTAGCAGTCAGTTTACATTCCACTACATGAATTCTAGGGATTAAATGGTTACCAGGCTTGGTGGCTTATACCTGAATCTGATGTCTGTCACCTTGATTGTCAACCTGACACACCAGTGAAGAAAGAGTCACCATTGAAGAATTGTCTCCCATCAGATTAGCCTGGGTGCCAATCTGTGGCCAATGTGTCTATGGTTAATTTTCTTTACAGCTAATTGACATAGGAGGGCTTAGCCCACTATTTCTCATCTCTAGGCAGATAGGATTGAGTTGTATAAGAAAGGTGGCTGCAATCTTGGAGCAAGCCAATAAGCAGCATTCCTCCATAGTTCCTGCCTCAAGTTCCTGCTCTGGCTTCCCTCAATGATGAACTGTAACCTGCAAAATGAAATACCCCATTTCCTCCCCAAGTTGCTTTTGGTCATGTGCCACTTATCACAGTAACAGAAAAGCAAACCAGAACACCAGCTGAACCATCTCCCTGGCTCCAGAATCAGAGCTCTTTATTTCCACCTCATATCCTTTTAGCTAAAATACAGTGACATCTGTGTACAGGAAGTGTTTGCTTTCTGTATACCAGTCACATCTACTGCATACACTCCCAGCTTGGGCCAGTGGCCTCAGTTTTCCTTTCACTGTGCATTCAGAATAGGACATTAAAGAGAAGTCATGAAGACAGGAAATATTTGAGGATGGAAAAGCCTCTCTGGTTCTCTGCCTTGGAGCCTTATTCATTACTGTGACCCAAGTGACATTTCTCTACACATCCTTCAATAACCTACTCAGAAAGCACACAACGAGACTAACACAAAGTAGAGAAAGAATGTTTAGAAACTATTATATCACCTTAAATGTGGTGACTTAGTATCTCTTAAATGTAGTAATAAAACTTGGTCTTCCAGTTGTTAATATGCTGCAGCTTTAAATTTATTTTCCTGGAATTAATTTACAAAATGCCATTAGAAAATGAGATTGGATGGCAATCGATCTCATTTAAGATTGGTTTAAAGGGTTCAGGTTCAAGGGTGACTTCCTGTGCTTCCCAGTGTTCACACAGAATCCGTAGGACCCCTGCCTTTTCCTGTATGCACTCATAATCACTGTGTATGTGTCTTATGTCTTCTGCGCTACAGGTTCCTTGACAAGATGAGTTCACGGCATCTCACAAATGCCGTGTCCCTCTAACCTATACTCATGGACTTGGAAGAATACCATTAGCTGTTCATAGTTACTCAGTTTTGAAGAGGGAAGAAGTGACTAAGAGAGATATTATTTTCTGCCTGAATTCAGTGATGGTGACACTCCAGAATACAGTTAAGCAGTATCAGATTCCAAGTTTTACTCATAAATATTTAGACCTGCATGGACACAAGATGATCCATACTTTTGCCTCATGCAAAAAAAGTCCAAAGTGTGTCTTGATTATGCATATCAAATAACTCTAAGACACACTGAGGTTTTAGAATAAGCTCACTGTATTCCCTATTCACGGTGGTCTACTCAGAATTGCCCAGTGCTATGTGCATACACACTACCTCTCATGTGATGAGCATGAACACTGTACCAGTGCAGTTGATAATAAATCCCTCAGTAGGGAAAATGGAACAAGGCCTTTAATTTGAAAGTCAGCTCCAGGACCCACTCACCAAAATACTCATCAGCAGGGGGATTTTCCATGTCATACAGCATCTTCTTGGTCAGGTGCTCAAGCTCATCTTCTGGCCGGAATGATGCAGGGATAGTGGGGGGCCCCATAGGCCCAGGGTGTCCACCCTGGAAGAAAACACATAACCATTTAATCATAGTCTGAACATCCACCCCAGCAATCTGCTTAACCAAGGAGGAAGCAGCACAGGTCGATCCATTTGTACACATGTTGTGCACTAAAATTTATTACTTATTCAGTGTCTGACCTTTGATATTACACCCTATCCACTTCCCTTCTCTAGATGAGTCTATCACATTTAGAATCTGTGTTTCAAATAGTAGGAATATATTTTTTCAGTTAGAGATAAGCAAAGTGCATTACTTAGGAAGATGAGCAATAAAGACTATACAGCCTAGAGGATAGTCTACAGGTGCATCAGTGAAGACAGAGCTTCAGTAGAGAGTGCACTGTCAGGAGTTAAAGGAGGCTCCCTAGAAGAGGATGCAGAAAAAAGTAAATAAGACTTCTTGTACCTACGGGAAAAACCTCAGATATGATAAAAAGCTCCCGGAAATCGTGTTTTCCTATTCAAATATAACATTTGAGATAGCAAATGAGGTGAATCTTATTGGTTCCTGGGATCCAGAAAGCAAAGGGATGTTATTCCAGCTAAGGAAGCTTAGCAACACCCCACGCCCCCATGCCATAAGCAGGCAGGCATTAAATGGGGATGGGTGGCTAGTAATGTTCAATTAGGCAGGTGAGACTGCAGAAATGCCATGTAAGAGAAGGGAAAATCAGGCAAGAAAGTATGTGAGACAGATAATCATTGTCCCAAAGTGTGCAAAGAAAGGGAGGTCAGATGGTAGAGGCAAAGGAGCGTCATGCTATATACAGGAAAGGAAGCTCACTCCATTTCCCTTTCCCACATTTCAACTTTCCCTTGTCAATAGTGCCTCATATCTTTAATCAGGAAATTATAAAAATAAAAACGCTGTTACTAACAGTTTAGAAATGAAGACAGCACTGGTCACTGTCAATGGGAAGAGAGGAGGACAGAGTGTGTGCTTGCTTGGTGTTTACGACTCTTGGAATAGTTGGGTGAGAGTCCCAGTCTTCAGACTCTGTTAAGAGTAAATCCTACAATGCTGGAAGCTGGGTATTCATTCTCCCACCATCTTCACTTTACCCAAGGGGTTATCAGACATAGCATCCTGTAACATACACTTCTCTTTACAGATGTTATCATGCCTGATGTGGGTTTGGCTTGAGTGATATCTACAGCATAGAATCTAGGCCTCATCGACACTAGTAAGACTTCATTGACAGTGGGTTAGCCTTTTAGCTATACTATTTCCCGAAATATACATAAGTGTGTAGTAGGGACGATACTGAAAGCAAAGAGCCCAAGAAACTTTTATTGGTCACTAATCTTGTTCTACCATTTTATTCCCGGGTAGAATATTTGCATTAGAGATGTCAAAGACATGGGCAGGCTTCTGTCAGCTGCATGATCTTCTCTTTGAGACAGTTAACATGAAATGCCAAAAGATCAGGACAGCACTAGTTATAGTGAAGTAGGACAGGAATCCATGCAAGACTAGTTCATTTATTCAGTGAACATTAAGCACTAAAACTAGAGCAACTTCTCAACTTCAGACATTATTTTACCCTAAGGGTTTATTATGTACTTTAAAGAAATGATTGAATCATTGGAGTTTTTAGTTTATTCAATAATTCTTATTTTATCTAATTATTAGTTGTTTGAGAATTTATTATATTTTGATCCCATTTACCCCACTCTAAATCCCCCCAGATCCACTCATGCTTCCTTAACCATCCAACTTTGTATACTCTTTTCTTTAAAACCACCAAGTAAATTTGTGCTGCCCATATACCCTTGAATATGTGGTCTACCACAGCAGTGTGGGTGTCATGCCAGATGCTACACAGTTACAGAAATCAGAACCATCCACTCCAAGCAGCTGCTAGCTTAGAGGTGGGACTTCATGTTCACCTATCTTCTCCATGCTGGAATGCTGTCTGGCTTGAGGTTGCATAGATCTTAAGTATACTGTTAAAACCATGGCTTCACATACACAACCATCCTGCTGTACAAAAGAGACATTGGTTCTCTGTAGTCATCCACCTCTTCTTTACTCTTACACTCTTTCCTTGCCATCTCCCTCAGTGAGCCCTTGATCTTGGGGGGAGGGGTGTGTACAGATGTCCCACTCAGGACTGAGTATCCCGCAGTCTGTTCTCTGTACTTCCGCCCATTGTCAATCTCCATGTTAAATGCCATCTACTGAAAACAGAAGTTTCTCTGATGAGGAGAGAAGCATCAATCTAAGGCTGTAAGTCATTAGGAGTTGGTTAAATTCTATGTCTGTTTAGCAGAGGAGGAGGAGAGGTTTTCATCTAGGGCCTATGAATGTGGTGTGAGCTGTCCATACGGTCACTCACTGGTATGAGACCATCCACTGGAGTGTGGCTGACTGTCCAGGAGCCACATCTCTGAATCTTCTTCAGCAGAAACCACGTTGTCCATAGTTCCTCAATTAGGAGGTGGGGCTCATGAGCTCCATCCCATACTATGCTATAATGTTGACTGACTTGAGTTTTGCAGCAACCATAGCTGCTGAGTTCATGAGTGTGGTCATCCTGCCAATTCAAAAGACATTGTTTTCTCTAGTCCTTTCTTATCTCTGGCACTTACAATCTCTTTGTCCTCTTTTCTACAGTGATCCCTGAGCCTTGGAAAAGTGAGTAATATAGTTGTCCTGTTTGCAGCTGTATACTCTTATAGCAGTAGTCTTAACCTTCCTAATGCTGTGACCCTTTAATACAGTTCCTCATGCTGTGGTGAGCCCAATCATAAAATTGTTTTGTTGTTACTTCATAACTGTAATTTTGCAAACTGTATTGTAAATATTTGATATGCAGGATATCTAACATGTGACCCCTGTGAAAAAGACATTCAACCCCCAGTGGAGTAGCGACCCACAGATTGAGAACTACTGCTCTATAGTCATTTATTCCCACACTTTGACCAGCTGTGAATTTTGTGCTAACCACTATCCACTGCAGAAAGAAATGTCACTGACCATGTCCAAGAACTGTAGTAATCTATGGGTAGAAAGATGTAGATTTAGAGGAAAGTTTAATACTATGTCCATCGAGCAAAATTATAGTATTATTTTATGTATTAGCCTACACAGTATAGATATATAGTACTGGTTGTTGCTTTGTACTGTGAAGAGAACCTGAAATCCAACCGGAAAGCACTTGTTTACCCCAAAAACATTAATACCACTACTATCCCATGGACATATCTTGCCAAACCACTCATTACTGAAGTTCAGAGTTCATGGCTGGGTAAGACAGCTGGTGACTTTATTTTATGTTATGTAAATGCTACTTTTGAAATTCATGAAATGGGACTTTTTTTTAACCACAGTAACTTCAAATGATAAAGATATGCTGGTTACTCTTAAATTCTTAGAATATGTTTCTAAATAATCCATGTCATGTGGAGGATTGAAAGAGTAGCAAAATGTCAGAGTTGAGAAGAAAATTTGTATGAGTTGGAAAAACTTCAAATGACCCTGTTTAAATTTGGAGTAAAGAGGACAGAAAGGAAGTTTCAACTGGTTGCAGTCTTGTGATAATGCAGGACCTTATTAGTTAAGACCATGGATAACTCTAAGAATGGTGACAGAGAGCCAATCTGATTTGGAGTTCTTTGGCAAGCCTAAGAACTTAGGGTAGGTTCAGATCTCCTCAGTCATTATGAGAAGCACTGTGAAGAAGGGGCTACCTACTTCAGGTGACAAAATAGACAACGGATATGAGAACAGGAGCAATTGATTTCCTTCAGGTGTTCAATAAAAGGAGAGACTGAGTCCAGGCTATGCTGGTATCTAAACCCAAATTGTACTCACACACCTTTTTCCCCAAGCATGTATTGCCCATGGCTTCCAACAGAGAGATACTAGAAAATCACTGACTGTCATTTGCTAATAGCACTAATGTTAGCTGCTTTAATTTCCTCAACAGTCACTAAAGAGCACATGATATCCCTGCTTCCAAAGGACACACTTTATTATTGTCTCAGAATATGTATCTGTTTTTTAAATAAACAAGAGGTAAGAAATTAAATCCATTTCCCACAAAGCTAAGGCAGAATTGTCTACCCTTAGCACTTACATTTCCAAAAGACTAATTTCAAAGTACTGTCAGTATTTCACGGATGTTTTTAAAAAGAATCATTCTTCCCAGTCTTCAAATATTCTTGCCTGTTTTGCTTGCCAAATTTAGAAGGGCTCTTTACATTAAAATTCCATTTTTTGTATTTGATGTTATCAGACTTAGCACACTGATATGTCCCTGTAAACTCACCGTAAATTGAAAACATTATAAACCAAAGAAGCCTTTGATGCACCTCACATAGTGGTCATCACAGCACAACAATATGCTATCAGCATTGGCTGTTTGTCATGTGACATGTGGCCCAGTGGGAGTTGTAGCCCATTGCCACTCTGCAGCATCCTGAGAGAATATCCTACTAAATGTCATTAGCTTGGGAAGAAAAAAAAGAAAACCCTCAGATTTGTGTAATTTCTATGGAACGGTTATTACTTTATGTTACAAAATATAAAGCTGAAAGATTGCAAGTAGACCACAGTTAAGTTGGAGAGCACACCTGCACTGTTAATGGAGAGCTATGTCTTATGAGGAAGGACCTAGATGATTTCAGAGTACTTTGAATTTTGTCAACATGACTCTGCTAGCTACGCCCCATCCAGTGTAGAATGAGGAACGTCTCTGGAATGAATGCTGGAAACATAGATCCTTTAGATAAGGGTTGGGTTTTCACCCCAGGGAGGATAGCCTATGACACTGAGTTCAATCCTGTAAGAAATTTTGTATTTTACTCTTCACTGACAGACAGTTATCCCTGTAATTTCTTCCTTCCAATACAGATGAGGGCTCAAGATATCTTAAGGAAAATGAACAAATTGTGTCTAGTTTATTTCCAAATGAGCAATTCATGGCAGTTTAGGGTAAGAACAGATAATTTCAAATGTGTGAAAGGTCACTGGGATGGGAGGACTTCTAGTGG